TATAATTTCTTTAATGTCTATGTTTTTACAACACTTTTTTTTGAGACGTTTTTTTTCTTTATTTTTTTGGGGGGATGGCCGGTGGAAGAGAGAAGAGTCCCCCTTTTGTCACTCCCCGACATCGTCTCATTGTATGATTTCTAGTTCATTTTGTTTGTTTTTCGTTTGTATGACATGGTCGCCATTTGCCGCTACTCTACGTGGTGATTACTACCTATGCATCATTTCGTCTCCCCTTTCTGCGCACATGTTGCCCCGTTTTTTTCTTTTTTTTTTGTCTTTTTTTTTGCGAAACGTTAATTTTGAATAATACTCCCAAAGCTTCAATTGTTTTTATTAAAACCAAACGACCTATGGGGACCATTTTGTTACGTCCCCAAATGGAAGCGGAGAGGTTCTGTTTGTCCCCTTTTTATTATACAGCGTGTGAAAAGACGGTGGAATGTCTAAATGGGCAGACATTGCAGACAGGAAGTGGAGTCACCCAATCAGCTAGTGACGTCTTCCTTCGGGGAAGTACAGAAATGCTCTATGAGATGCATCACTGGTTTGGTAGGTTACACCCCTTTAGGTTGATTTTCCTCTAAGTAAAGCTTAATCATGGAGATAAGAAAAAATAAGAAGCACAAGACATCAGCTAACCTTTTTGGTAGGATGGGGGGGCCTTGGACAACTACTTCCTTTTTTTTTTTTTTTATTCCCCTTTTGAGTCTGTCTGTGTGTACGTAAGTAAGTTAGCCCTTACTGGGGGCCTGTTGGTGTCTTTTTTCATCCCCCTCCTCCCGGTTAGAAGCGACAGAATTGGAGAACTTCTTTGCCACCTCATGGCTGACCTAACCGGAAGGCCTACTTGCAATTGTTCTGATCGTAAAAACGTGGACACGTCAACAGTGACGTCAGAGTAGACACAGACGTAAGAGCGAACGGAGAAGTTGCAGCCATGCGTAGCATGTCGCAACGCGGAACGGAGGGAAGTCATACTTTTCGGCCCCCTCGAACTTTCCCCTTAACGAATTATGAACACCTTCCTTGCTAGATCGTTTCTCGATGGAGAAAAAATAACAGTGCTGCAAAGGGAGGAAGGTAACACGACAGGTGAAAAAAAGAAAATACTCGTCTGGCTCCTTTACTACTGCCACTTCGTCACTTCACCCCCCTCCTTGCGCCTCTGTGGAGGGGAATTTTCTTTAACGCACATATAATCGAAGCGGGCATACACCAAAGGTATATGTACGTGTAGGCTAGCCTCCCGAGTGAACTGTACTTGCAGCCTAATGCTTCACATTGGTGGTGATGATGAGGGGGGTTGTTCCTCGCCGCATCTACCATTTGGCTGCGAAGCTGTGTACATACATCCAGGCGTGTACGCTCATGGGAGGTAGGTAGGCACGCACTGTACGTACCGTCACTTCGCATATGCCTGTATATATATTTTTTTTTGTAACACCAAGAGGCGCACATTTGCGTGACGAGGCGAATGCCTTTATTGACAACTCGCCCCCTCGCATTCACCCCGGTGGAAAAACTTCTTCACCACGACTACATCGTTTGCATCGTCCCTACGTCGGTGCAGTTGGTAGCTAGAGTACATGGGCAGAGTACCTAGGTATGGCACATAGGCATGGCACATAGGCATGGCACATAGGCATAGCACATAGGCATAGCACATACGTATAGCACCTATGCATACCGCATATGCATAGCACTTGTGTAAATGCCTAGGCCTCTGATATGTACGCTCAGCAGAAGGGCCTTCCCCAAAGCAGCCATCCTGCATATGTACCTTGCTCGGCATAAATTTTCACCTGCACGTGTACAGGTAAAAAAGGACGCAATAGTGTACATATAAATTGTTACGTACATATGATCTGCTTGTTTTTTTTTTCTTCCTCTTCTTCTTTCTGTGCAAATTTCGCTTTTATTTTGCTGCGTTTTAAATTGCCGCGTGGGTAAGTTACATGATAGGATAGTGCAGCATAGCGGAGTACAGCGCATAGAGAAGAGTATAAAGCATTATAACGACCGCTCGTTTGGCCCCCCCGAACTCCTTTGTATTTTATTTTGTTTTATTTTTTTTCTTTGCTCCCCATTTTTCCTCTTCTTCTTCTCCTTCCACTCTGCTATATTTATTTTTTTTTCTTTTTCGAACAATTCCACGCCTTCACCTGTGCGACTCGCCTGAATGGTCTCCCCCCTTCCCCACGACAATATGTGAAAGCAAAACTGTACAGATGCTGTGCGGAATGTAAGTACAAGCATACATTACCTTGTACAGGCGCACAAGCGTACGCTACTTCGCTTTATCGCCAATCGGCTGCTTACGCGTATTGCCCCTATAACGCCCGCAGGTATATATCCCCTGCATTAACACAGGCTTGCCATCGCGTAAACTTTCTAGTACCTGCAAATGCCTAGTTGTATCCTTCGCTTCGTTTTTTTGAATTTAGAGTAGCATAGGAAGAAAGGAAAAAAAAAATTCGAGCATGTACTTGTTCGTGTTGTGCTACATCTCCTTGTACTGCTTCATGTGACCTGGAGAAGGCGCGCGCGCCCACGCATTCGTCTCAGTCTGTTTTACGACCATCCCACCACAGCTCGGCCGCCCCCAACGGAGCGCTTCCTACTTTGCATTCACCTCATCCAGGCAAGCACTACGCTCGACCTTACATGTACAGGAGTACATTAGCATACGTGAGCATCGTTATGAGCATACATAGGGGCATATTTATTTGCATACATATAACCATCCTTATGAGCACATGCCTTAGTAACTTACGTGCCCGCGTGTGACTGATCAACTATCCCGGACAGGGCTCCACCCCCCACGAACATCTTCATACCATTTGGATGATAAAAAAGGGGCATGAAAAAATATATAGTCGTTTTACGAGCCCGTGCCGCTTCGTCCCGTGAAGGCAGAACAAGAGTGAGAGCAAGCGCAGGAGCAGCTTTACCTCCCTACCCATAGGTACAATGAGAGTGTATACGTGAGGGTGATAACGTGCGGGTGATAACGTGCGGGTGATAACGTGCGGGTGATAACGTGCGGGTCTACCACTGTCGATTCAACCCTGCTATTACAATTTTGCGCTCTGCGCCTACCGCAAAGGGGGTGCCGTCTGTTTATGCTCATGAAACGTCCTGGTCAAAGGAGTGTAAATGCTTCTTTTCTCCACCTACTCTCTATTTTTGTGTACCTCTGTTGATTCATGTTTTATGCACATTGTGTGAAGGGAGGTGCAGCCCAAGGGGACGAGCTCATCGTTGCGCGAACCGCCTCCCCCCTCTTAGTGAGTATCCCAGATCTTTTACTTCTTTATTTTCTTAGATGCTTTAATTGCAGCACATTAACGTTGCTTATAGAGGGGCCTTCGCTTCCCTGCCGAGTTCCTATAAAGACAAATCCCCATTCCTGATCCCCCCCTTTTTTTTTGTGTGTGCCCCTTCTCTAGATGCACCTTTAGCAACGGCACCCTCCCAGCCCAAGCGTTGATCACTCCGGACTCTTTCTCCACCCAGTTCCTATTGAAGAAACGTTTTCATCGATGCGCTGCGCAAATTGAGAAGATCTTTAATTCAGACGTCGCTCATTGTTTGCTTCGCTCAGATTAGGAGAGTTTTTCATTCTAGTGTGCTATACTGTTCGTTTCGCTCTTTTTTTTTTTTATTTTTTTTTTTATTCCCATTTGTGGGAATCTCCCCCCTTCCTGCCCGTTTATCCCTTTCACTGTCCTAATTTTAAACGCCAAAATGACGGAGGCCGAGAATATAAAGGTGGAGAAGCCCGACTTCGACGCGTACAATGAGAAGTTGGGCAACATTTCGGAGTCTATTGACCAAGTGAAGAAGAAAATTGTAAGTCTTCATCGGGAGGGTAGCGTGCCGGCCCAATAGCAGTCAACAGGATGACTGCATTACAGGAAACACGTCTACTGCATAACCGATAACACACTGACCTCTTCTCTCCACAGGAAAACCTGCAGAAGGAAATAAAAGTGGCGAACAAGGGCAAAGAAGACTTCAATAAGAAGAAGAAAGACATCGTGACTAGAATCGACGCAGTACAGCAAGAAATAGACAAGCTTGAAAATGAAAGGAGAAAAATACTGGACGAAATGGAGAAAAAGCAACAGCACAAGAAGGAACTCAAGGTGAATGCACAGAACATGAAGAAGCAAATAGGTTTCCATAACGAAGAAGACATAGAGAAAAAAATCCAAGAAATAGAAAACAAACTAATGACATCAACCATCTCGATTAAGGAGGAGAAGCTTCTCATCAATCAGATCCAAGCGCTGAACAAGAACAAGCCACTACTCTCCTCTTACAGTAAAATGGAAAATGAAGCTAGCAAGTATGATGACGAAACGATTGTTCCACTTAAAACACGCATGGATTCTATTCGAGAACAAATTAACAATCTCAGGAATGAAAAAAAAAACGAAAGAAACAAATTGAAGGAGTTGCAAAATAGCTACCAAGAGAAAAATAACAAACTCAATGAACTAAATAACTTAAGAGACAGCTACTCCAAAAAAATGAATAGCTATTTTATCGAAAGAAGGAACCTGACCGTTGAGATGGAGGAGAAGAGACAGCAGTATAGGACTTACAAAATGAATTTACTGCAAGCCAAGCAGCAGAAGTTAAAGGAAGAAAGGGAAAGAAAAAATCTAGAGATCGAAAAGCAGTCTCTAGAGAAAGAACTGGAAGACATAGACCTCTTACCTTATAGGGAAGAGCTAGCCTTAATTGAGAATATGCTCGTGTACTTAAAGAAGATACAGGAAGAAACGAAGCTGGAAGAGGCAAAGAAGCAGCAGAGCAACTCGGCTGCAAAGAAGGTCAATGGAGATGTGGTCGACGCGGAAAACAACAAACAGCAAGTCGACGACGCGGCTGCGAAAGGGAAAAATGATGGAAAGAAAACCAAAGGCAAGAAGGACAAGCAGAAGATTTTCAAACTAGATATGAATATCCTCTGCTACTTCGTCACTGCGGGTATAAGCCCCCCCGTCAGCTTTGACGAGGTTGATTCGTGTATCAGCAAGTTGCTAGAGAAGAGGGAGTTTTACGAGACCAAGCGGGACGAGAGCGTCAGGAATGTGGAGAGCAGGAGGGCGGACCTCACCGGCAAGATTAAGGGTAAGCCAAGTCAGCCTATCGGGGCGGAGCGGAGATGGCAACAGATAGATAGATGGATAGAGATACATAGACAAGTGAATATATATATCGAGAGAGCTCTCTCCAACGGTGGACCCCTCTCCTCACACACCCAACAGAGGCACATCACCTTTCTGTGCTCAGCAAAGCAATGTTACATTCCCATTTTGTCGCCCCAAATATATGACTCTTCCCCCCTTCCCTCCACCTCTTTTTTAGAAATCGAGGACAAATTGACGGCCTTCAAGCCCAGCGACCAGCAGAGAACCCCGAAACTGAATAAAGCCAAGGCCTGAGACAGCATCGCGCAAGAGGACGAATAGACGACTGCGAGAGTGACCTGTAGCCGTGCGCGCGTCCCCACTCCGTGTGCCTCAGTGTGATCTGTATCTCTCTCTCGCTCTGTCTCTGCGTATGTGTCTGTGTGCGTTGTGTCGTTATGCCCATGTCCTGTGTGTGTGTTGTGCCTGCATGCTTGTGTGCGTCTTCGCTGTGTGCCTACGTGAGTGTTCCATTTTTCACCTTCATTTATGCTCGTGTCTGCCCCCATGCCTGCGTCTGTGCGCCTCATCTGCTGCGCCACCCCTGCGTACCTTTTTTTTGTTTTCTCAAATTATTTTTTAAAAGTCTCTTTTGTCGCCAGTTCTATAGTTATTCCCGAGAGTTGTTGGGAGGGGAGCGGCCGCGCGGCTGCAGGGTAGCGGTCAAGAAGTAGCGAAGCAACAACCAAGTAACAGCGAAGTAGCAACAACGTAGCAGCCGGATGCAAGCGCAAACATCCAACGTGCACCCTGCATACCCCACACAGGTGCTTTTTTTTTTTTAAATTCCCATTTTTCCAAGGGGGCTTTCCACGTGAGACACTGCCCCAACATCCAGCGCTTTCTGTTTTTTTTATCCGTGTATATTTTGCCCTGCGTACGTACACGCACTTGTGTGCCTGCTCGGATGGCGCGTTCCCCAGCTAGACACTGACCAGCGTACCAACGTATGGTTGTAAAAAGAAAAAAAAAAGAAAATCAAATGATTTACTCATAATTAACAGAACAGCATCTATTCTATTCGAATGCATATTAAAAATATCTATAGCAAGAAAAGAAGCAAAAAAAAAAGGAAAATTATCTCAAATGATAAGTTGCCATTTTCCTGATCGGTTCGGTTACTCTGCATGGAGAGTGAAGACAGGGAAACCTATCCCTGGGGACGACAGTGATGGACATCATCCCCCCAAGTAGAGATTGCACCTTGTGTCGGTCAGGACTGACATGATGGTAACCCCATGGGGGAGCACTTTCCCTAGGCACACATGCTGTATCTGTTAATGCGCCCACGAATGCGAATGCTGCCAAGGGACGGAAGCAGCAGGTGTAGTTACTTCCCCCCGTGGAATGCCAACCTGGCGTATAGACACGTTGGCCCGAAAGTGTCTCATGTGTGTCTCTACAATGAGCGGCTCTCTCATTTTTGACGATGGAGGAGGAAATGCGCAGATGAGCATACAGAACGGACGACAAGCGAACAGAATGGAAGGCGAACAGGCGAACAATTCGCACCTTCTGATTATCCCCCCCACGTGGCATCCGGCAAAAAGGGGGAATTTTCTCCAAATCAGTTGTAATAACATCAATCCAGGTAAAAAAAAGAAAGAAAAAAAATGCGATGTGTTCATTCATGAGAAGAATAAACGCACAGGTTTCTGCATGCTGTGTGTTAAACCCCAAAGGATATACTTCTCTTTTGTTTTAATTTGCATCCCATTTTGTCTCGGCCAGAAGACTCACCCTTGGGCACAGAGGAGTGGGGGTCTCTATTTTCCGCTTTAACAAAAGACAACTGTACGAACATATGTACTGGTGAAAATGAAAAAGAGAAAAAAAAAAAAAAAAGAAAAAGACTCCAATTTTATGGCGTCCCAAATGACCTCCCCCAAGAAGTATTCAACATGCGAGGGGTGTCCAGAGGAGCAGAAAGACGTTCAGCAGGATTTCGCTTGGGACACCATTACGACAATCAGCACAGCTGCCAATATAACACTCCGCATGGAGACAATTTTTCTCCTTCCCTTCTCAAATAGAGAACCATTTACCACAAAATCGGTATGACGATTTTTAAAGTTGCCATTTGTATACTCCTACGTAATTGTATAACCTCCCCACAGACACTCCCCAAGTGTAAGTTTTTTTTTTTTTTTTTTTTTTTTTTTTTTTTTTTTTTTCCATCTGCTCAACTGCACACGCAACAGCAGCGCCTATTTTACTCGCGAAAACGTACCAAATCGGAGGAACAGAGATCGAGGCGAATACGTGAATTTTAGGAAAAAGCAGCAAGAGCATAAAGATTGCAAATCGGGACGGCAAAAAGAATATAAAAATAAAATAAAATAAAACAAAATAAGAGAAAACAAAATAAAATAAATCGTTAAGGGGCCATGTACACGGGAAAGTTTTCCTCCAGTTTGGCTCCCCCTTTTGCGTCTGTCCCTCTGCCCCTACCCCCACCCCTCGAACGATGGACCCCTCTTACCGCAGCCTGCGGACCGTTGAGCTGCAGAAGCGGAAGGTCACTCAGTCGAAGAATGCGTCCAACTTGTCGGAGAGGAAGCTGGCCAATGTGTACGCGGTAAGAGGAGAGGGGCGGAAGCGCGTAGAAAGCACACCAATCAGAGCAATGAGGGGAATGAGACGATTCAGGGCAATCACGCCGTCACTCATACCAATCCCCCCCCGCAGCCAAAAGACTTCGACGAAGACTCCACCATCGTCGTGTGCAACTTCCCGCAAAAGACGACCATGAACGAGTGTAAAAATTTCATGCAGTGGATTGGACCAGTCATAAGGGTCGAGAAAATTCCATCCTTCATGCAGGAGAACAACTACCTCGTCGTGTTTTGCAATCCGTACTTTGCCAAGGTAAGGCCTGCGTCTTCTTTCGACTGTTCCATCTTGTGCGTACGACGTGTCTACCACAGTGGGAAAAAGGCATCTCCACAGGGAGTTACCCGCACCATCGCAAGTCACAAAGAGGATTATGCACACCTGCACACACACCTCGTCCATTTCCTCCCAATGGGCCCCACTATGCAGGCCGCCCTCAAAACGGAACTTATATATGAAAACAAAACGAAGCTGTTTATCAGGCCAGTAGAGAAGAGGGAGACCCTTTGGAAGAACATAAACGACATGATTTCGACGAACATTGGATTTTTTTCTTAATGGGCGGCGGGAATCACACACAGGTATCCATGTGTTGATGTGTCTACCTTGACGATGAACAGAGAACCGCTGCGCAACTGGGTACAGCCCTCTCCCTTGGTATGAATGTACCACCTCTTTTTTCTTTTTTTGTTTCTTTTTTTGTTTCTTTTTCTGTTTTTTTTTTTTTCTGTCCCTTCTGAATAACTGTTTAAAAAAAGGGTAACCATAAAATTCGCTGTACGTCTTTACATGAACCAATGGGGATGTCCACATAGCTGTTCCATTTGTGAGAGAAAAAAAAAAAGAAAAAAATGCGCGAGGAATGTTATGTACAAAGCAATGCGTATACGTGTTAAGTGAGGGTCCTTGCACTAGCAGCGCAATCGCTGAAAAGAAAAAAAAGTAGGTGTAAAGGAAGGCAAAACTTCTCATTCCTAAGTGCCATGGGGAGAATTCTCCACCAGGCGGGGTAGTTCCTCATATAGCTGCTGACCTGATGAAGTAGCCCAACTGTGGCGTTGGCGGTGTGGAGGGGGGGGAGGGGACACCGTCCCAGCTGTAATTTCCAAACAGGTATCTAAGAAGAGGAGCCACCTTCCCGACCAACCGAATAGACTTTCCTTGTCACATGGTCAGAGAAACGACAACCACGTTTGATAAACATATGCCAGCGCATTTATTAAGAGACCCATATACACCGCGTTTCATCTCTTTCTCGCAAAGAAGTTACGCAACCTCTATATCCACGCTGAATAGAAAAAAAGAGGTAAAACCTTATAAGAATTGCTATCAGTGAACGAAACGAAATGGCAACGTGGAAAGGTCGTAGGTACCCTTCTGTCCATGCAGACCCCCACGGATCGTATGTGGAGTGGATACGTGGACCATGTTCACCAATTCTCGCAGTCAACCTAAACAGCGTTAGACAACAATAAAAACAGCGCAACACTTCGCAATTCTGGCAAGTCCGTCCGTTTTGTCATAAGTGACACCCTTATGGTTTAACCCCACACGCTCCACATCGCCCAGCGGAATCGCTTTTCCTGTTTAATGGCTTCTAGTGAAACCTTGTAAATGTATAGTTTACAGTTTGGGAAAAAAAAAAAATAAAAAAATAATGTAATATAATGATATGTAATGTAATAGTACGTTGCAGGCGTGGCGACAGGTGCAGCTTTGTCGCCTCCCCCATAGTTCATTTCGCCTCCTCCAACGTAGCGCAGAATCCTTTTGATTTCCAAAAGGGGCAGCCACAGAAGACGGCGAACAAACCACAGTGAGAGACGCAGACGCAGCACGAGGTGCTACACACAACGGGAGTTAATAAAGCGAATGAGTAAGGGAGAAAAAAAAAAACTAAACAAAAAAAAAAAGTGTTCACTTTTTTTTTTTTTTTTCCACATATATGTATATTTATGTATACTTGTGCATATAGGCATTAACACAAACACGCTAACGAGCATGCTGTGTAGCACATATAACGATGTACTCATTTATATATTTTTTTTTCTAATTTTTTTCTTATGTGTCCACTGGCACCATGCGCACATTAGGCACAGAAGCACTATAGAGGCAGGCGCCAATGGCTTTCCATAATCAGCATCAGCGTGTGTGGTGAACCGCGCGGGGGGTGCGACTCACGCTTGTCAGGTGTGAGCATAGAGAAGCAGAGGCAAAACAACCATGCACGTATAGGCAAATGAATATACTCATGAGAACATATCCACTTGCACACGTGCGAAGGGATGCAAGCTCCATCATTCTCAGTGAGACGCCTAACAAGAGGGCGCACCCACATAGGAAGTACACCCAAGCGTCCACATACGGCAAACGGCATTACCCTAAAATATATCAGCAGGGAAATATCAGCTGGTCTGGCGATTCTTCTTTACACCACACGGTACCGTACAGACATCGTGCGTGCTACGAAAAAAAAAAAAAAAGGAAAACACAGAAAAGGCAGACAGGCTCTAATAGTCCTGATTGGCGGTGGCTCCCGATTTAAGTTGGGACTTTTTTGGTAGTAACACATTGTGGATGTTTGGCAAAACTCCTCCGGATGCGAAAGTAACACCTGCCAAGAATTTGTTCAATTCTTCGTCATTTCTCACAGCTAGCTGTATGTGTCTTGGGGTGATTCTGGATTTCTTATTGTCTCTTGCTGCATTTCCAGCCAACTCTAAAATTTCTGCACACAAGTACTCTAGCACGGCGGCCAGGTACACAGGTGCTCCAGCTCCCACTCTCTTGGCATATTTTCCTTTTTTTAAGTATCTTCCAATTCTTCCTACTGGGAATTGAAGTCCTGCCTTAGCAGAGTTAGAGGTTCCCTTAACAGCCTTCTTCCTACCAGTTTTTCCTTTTGCTGACATTTTTTACGAGTATAAAAAAAAAAAATAAATATAACTGAGTAAGGGTTATACGCTTACGCCTTCTTTTCTCGTTAATTTCACGTGTGAAACTTTGCTTTTTCACAGAAAATGAGATATATTTTGTTTAAAATGGATGAATGCGTTT